TMWMAAAAAGTAATRGAAATAATGCAAGGCTGCACGCAATTCAATCTATTATGGTCCAAAGTGTTTTTTAACTTTATTTTTTTCCTATACAGAGTCGCAAAAGATAAAAATCAGGCAGACGAACTTAAGAAGTCAAWGTCGCGATWTAATGATTTTCGTTATATTTCCAAGAATGTGTACTATACAACACTTGACCCAGGCCTTAGCTATTTTAGATTTTGAATACGTACGACTTTGATTGATGGTCCTCCAGGGCCCCTTTTSCCTTGTGGTCCTTGTGGACCTGGCGGTCCAGGTGCTCCCTATAAAATAAAGAATAAACAATTAAGCAAATTATGTCTAATTAACAAATTGCGCACCGTTTTGAGCTGCATGCCCTTTTATGGACTCTGGACGTCAAGAAATGTTCAAAATTCAAGTGGACCCACCAGTACAGTTACTGGATTCACTACAACATACAACGAAAAAAAACTAGCGTGTATTTTGTTTTTTACCATATTTTCAGTATTTAAAATAACTTTTTTTAATTTTCTTTTTCTTAGGATCAGCGCTCGCACAAGACGTGATTATGCCAGCACAGTGTCCTGTTATGAATGTTATCCTCGGAAAAAATTTTTGAGGGATGGTAAAGAAGCATTATATAAGTGGTCTTTCCCTCCCCCTTTTTACTATATATGTACTTTTTCCTTTTATTGTTCTTATTATTTTTTTAATATGACCTAGTTATGACAATTACGGCAACCAACYCGAAAGCAAACAGCTCCTTTGGTTGCCGTACACATACATCCAATTAAATAATCTGCTTAGCTACTCTATGACTATGTACTACTTTAAAGTGCACATGACACCTTTTAGAAAAACACTTTTATCCGAAAGGTAGCATGCTGACAAGCATTTCTGTAAAGGAAGAAATTCATTTTGAATAGTATATTCTGAGTTATAGACATTTGAAAATTGAAAATGCAAATGAAGTGACGTCAACTAAGGAATTGRTCCAGWCTTTTTACATTGTTTGCGCTATGCTGTTCTTGGTTGAAGAGCTCAAGTCATTAACCATAGTAATAATTGAGAGCTGAAAATGCTTTTTCCAGTGTAACAAAAAGAATAACGTCCTCTTTCATGATTTTGTATATTAAATCATTCCTTAGTAGACGTCACTTAATTTGCATTTTCTAAGTTTCAATTGCCCATAACTTAGAAAATACAATTCAAAATCAATTTGTTTCTTCACTGATGGACTTAGCAGCATTTTCTCTTTTGGATGAGAATGAATTTCTAATGGTGTCATGTGCACTTTAACTATTATATTGTTGTAAATCATCTGTAATACTGTGAATAAACCGAATTGACTTTCTTACCGGTGGTCCTAAGGAGCCTTTCTCTCCAGCAAAACCTTTCAAACCTCGCCTACCAGGATCTCCCTAGAATGAAAGGAAATAGCTCTAATACAACATGGATCAGAGATAAAGTGTAATCGCTTGTTTTTTATGACAATCATTGTTACTTACTGGTTCGCCTGGAGGACCTGGATCACCTGGTTCTCCTGGAATCTAGKATAAAGAAATCAAAAATATCTATATAATCTACGAATGGTTTCATCAACCAACCACTGTATACATGGACGCCCAAGGGTGGACACAGGGGGGGAGTATGGGGCATGGGGGACAGG